AGACATATAGACATACAGACACAGACACACATACACACAGACACACACACACACATACACACAGACACAGACAGATGGGGAACGTTACATTGGGGGTCAGGAGTCAGACACACACAGACATATAGACATACAGACACAGACACACATACACACAGACACACACACACACATACACACAGACACAGACAGATGGGGAACGTTACATTGGGGGTCAGGAGTCAGACACACACAGACATATAGACATACAGACACAGACACACATACACACAGACACACATACACACAGACACACACACACACATACATACACACAGACACAGACACACAGACACAGACACACATACACACAGACACATACACACGGGGAAAGTTACATATCATCAGAAAACTGTTCAAATATTTGAAGGTTAGAAAGCAACATTTTTCATTCTTTGACAACAATTGTTACTTTGTACTAAAAATATAAGTAGTCTTTCTGGCTTTTAGTTTCAACATATGGAATTTGGAACATCATCTCTCCATTTGTGTAGCACATACAACTGAGTACTGAGACCATAGACTGAGAACATACAAATAATAAAACATTCCCAATGTTGGGCCGTGCACATGGGCACAGATGGCCGAGCAAAAGTCTCATGACATGTTCCCTGTTCTCATCAAAGTTTGGCCACATACAACACACAACACACAGTCTCACACAACACACAACACACAGGACACAACACACACAGTACACAACACACAGTCTCACACAACACACAACACACAGGACACAACACACACAGTACACAACACACAGTCTCACACAACACACAGCCTCCCACAACACACAACACACAGCACACAGTCTCACACAACACACAGCACACAGCACACAACACACAGCACACAGTCTCACACAACACACAGTCTCACACAACACACAACACACAACACACAGTCTCACACAACACACAGTCTCACACAACACACAACACACAGTCTCACACAACGCACAACACACAACACACAGCACACAACACACACAGTACACAACACACAGTCTCACACAACACAGAACACACAACACACAGTCTCACACAACACACAACACACAACACACAGCCTCCCACAACACACAACACACAACCTCACACAACACACAGCACACAACACACAGCACACAGTCTCACACAACACACAACACACAGCCTCACACAACACACAACACACAGCACACAACACACAGTACACAACACACAGTCTCACACAACACAGAACACACAGCACACAGTCTCACACAACACACAACACACAGCCTCCCACAACACACAACACACAGCACACAGTCTCACACAACACACAGCACACAGCACACAGCACACAACACACAGCACACAGTCTCACACAACACACAACACACAGCCTCACACAACACACAACACACAGCACACAACACACAGTACACAACACACAGTCTCACACAACACAGAACACACAGCACACAGTCTCACACAACACACAACACACAGCCTCCCACAACACACAACACACAGCACACAGTCTCACACAACACACAGCACACAGCACACAGCACACAACACACAGCACACAGTCTCACACAACACACAACACACAGTACACAGTCTCACACAACACACAACACACAGTCTCACACAACACACAACACACAGTCTCACACAGCACACAACACCCAACACACAGCACACAACACACAACACACAGCACACAGCACACAACACACAGCATACAACACACAGCCTCCCACAACACATAACACACAACCTCCCACAACACACAACACATAGCCTCCAACAACACACAACACACAGCCTCCCACAACACACAGCACAACCCACAGGGAGCCTCACCTGACCCCGGTAACTCCCACACCAGCACGTTGTCCGACTTGAGGTCTCGGTAGATGATGTTGTGGCAGTGGAGGTAACTCATGGCTTTTGCCACCTGGGG